GAAGGGACTGCTTTAAACCATCGGCTTTTTGGGGATAACAGCGCAGCAAACTGAAATCTCCTTGCTAAAAGAACAAAATATTTACCTTCAAAACTGGGACTGTGTGAAAAATGAGGCATACCTTAATATAGATACCACAAGAGATTATACAATGTTAGTTAGTTAGTTAGTTAGTTAGTTAAGTGTTCTTTGTGGAGAATGTAATCGAAACCACGAATCAGGGTTAAAATTATTGACTCTGTGATGAAAGGAGAAAAATGCTGTTCATAAAATCTCAGTCACTCAAAGCAAACCGGAAGACATTTCACAACAGCGATTTCTGTAAAAATGATAGTGGAGCATCACTCGGAATGTCCAGAGTTCTCACCTAGGGCGTACAGACAGCCGTGGAACTCGACGCAAGAAAAATTGGCACGTCCAGATAGCATTGGTGCAACGAACGTCCACTGGTCGATGTCCGGGTCATAAACTTCCACCGAGTTTACATAATTCTTATTATGACTTCCACCAGCGACGTATATTTTGTCTGTAAAAACAAATTAGCTATAATTAAAGTGGTCCATGCAGAGCACAGACATGGGACAATCCCTACTTAAATTTGTAAATCTATTAATGATATTGTATTTAATGTACCCCTTCGAGTCACAGAAACTGCACAGACACGGCCGTCTCTGTTCATCTGTTTCTTTGTTTCGAATGCAGACAATCAGCATGTCAAAGGAAACGAGTTTAACTGATAAAATTTAACATAAACAGCATAAAGTGCTTACATTAATGCGTAATGGAAATTATGGTAAGTTACATCTTCTGTGAGACGAATTTTATTTAATTTGAAACCTGAAATGTACGGTACGAGCTGCCAAGCGGTGCTCTACATTTATAATACAATTTGATATTTACATGAGATTATTAATTGTCTCAAAAACATATTACATCTGTATTATTTGAGAGAAAGTTTGATAGTTTAATTGTTGTTTGCACTCATTCCGAGTGCACACTACAAAGGCAGAAGACCATGTCGAGGCACAGCTTACAAGAGCAGAAGAAACCATCACGCACTCAGAACTTCAAGCCGTTGCAGTCTGTGAAATAACGTAGTCCGTAGGACGGATAAAAAAATTGGTTATTAAAGGATTTTGGGTTAATGGAGTGGGGGAAACTAAGATCAAGTTTAAGAGGAATGCCTTGATGATGAAGGCGTAAAGTTAGTCGGTAGAAGGCAAACGACAGCCATCTTCGTACTAGCACCGTGAGAAAATCAAATCCTGCGACTCCTTCAACAGTTCTTGGGTTCTCACACGCGGACAGACAGACAGACGCCTCGCCTTCTGCACTAAGTCACACGTTTCTGTTTCACGGCATTTACGTACCATTCAGCACAGCCGCACTGGCATCGAATCGCTCTGTGTTCATGGGAGCGATCAAAGACCACTGTTTCGCCTTGCGGTCGTATCTTTCAGCCGTTCTGTAATACTCATAACAATCGTAACCGCCCATGGCGTACACTGCGCCTCGCAGAACTGCCACACTTAAACTGCGTCTGAAATGGTAAAAGTACACGCTCAGCTATGCTCATTTATTTCTGATGGAGATACATTTCCTCTCGCAGAACGCAATTGTTCGCTCGTCATTGTTGAATCTTAACTCAAATGAATTAAAATACAAATCGTATTCTTAATACCAACTTTGTCGCAAAAGTCCTGCCAGGAGTTCCTTAGTTAGAAATCTGCATCTTACCTGCGTTCATTCATAGGCGCCACCTCGCGGCATGTCTTCGTAACAGCGTTGAAGCAGAGACATGAGTCTAAGTCTTTCCAGTCGTCGTGGCCACCGATGACGTAAATGTCGAAATCGACCACTGCCGTGCCATGGTTCATTCGAGGACCGATCGACTCGATACCCTCCACCTGCAGGAACGACAGGTTATGGTTTTACGTTTCTTTGGGTCACTAGAGTCACTAGAGTCCAAGCGACCAACCACCGGAGCAGAGGTGCAACCCCCAACAGTGGACCGAAATTGCTACACCGCGGTTGGTGGCACTCGACAAAGACCGCGAGAAACGAACTTGGAGTAATCGTGGAATTATGAGAGACGGAGGAAACAGGAAGACCCGAAGAGAAGCTCAAACATTACCAGTGCCCTCGTCAAATACGACAGACAAATGTAGAATTAATTTGTGATCAACAGCTGACATTTCAGGTTCGTACGATGGCAAAGACAGATTTTGGTGTTTTGGGTTTTTCGACGCAAAGCTGGAGGCAGTACGTCCCCCACCCCACACCAAAGCCTTCTAATTCACGAGGCGTTACCACGCAGATGGCCAGCATCGACACTGATCAGTGCTTCTTTTATTACGTTGAAATCCACTGACGATCACCGATGACTTCGTTCCATGTCGAAAATCAGCAGACAGGTCGCCATGACAGTTGAAGTAGGCCTCTTATTGTAAATGGTATTTAGAAAAACTTCACATCCTTGGTCGATTCCTATTAGAACTTACTTTGTACGTGAGACTCAGCAGTTGTGTAATTTATGTATTTATTCCTTTTAATTCACGTCTTTGGAGCATAACTTAAAAAAGGGTTCACTGCAATAGAAATAAACGAACACGAACTAAAGAGGCGACGAGGTGCTCGTGATTAAGCTTAAATAAACACTTACCTAGTAAAAGTAAGCAAAAAGTAGGAAAAGTAGTTTTTCTCGGAGACGTCATTTAACAAGGCACAGTAAAAGTAGAAATGCGTGCAACTCACCACACTCCACCGGTCCGCTCGTGCGTCGTACGCTTCGATCACATCTGACGGCCATCCGTCCCTCTTCCCACCAATAGCAAACAGAATGTCCTGTGGGATTCGCGGGCGGGCAATCCTTGGTGTCACGAATTCTTTGTCTCCCCTCGTCATCATTTGCACGTCGCGTAGGAACTCAATCGTCTCCAAGATCACAGGTCTGCACGCCTTATTCCCCGTCACGTAAGGGTGCTTTGACACCTGTTGAACAGTTCAATGTGGACCTTAAAATCTTTTAGGAAGGGATGGCATGAGGAGTTGTAGAGGAAACAAGAAATTCACACATAATTTGGTTGGGAACTCACCGAAATCTACTATGGTATATACGGGAAAATATGTTTTTTGGTTTATGTAACGACGCACTTAATAAATGCACAGGTTGTTGAGAGAAGCGAAGTCAAGGTTACATCAATCTTAGAGGAAACTATTGAAATGTGTTTCAACCGAAAGTTAAATACTTGAGTAATTATTGCATTTTGAGTTACATCCAAAAATTGTAATTTATTTCTCGTCTCTCCCGTGCGATAACCACATTCTTTTTGATTCGATAACTTTCATTAGTCGTCAAAATTACGTAACATCAAAAGAAAATTATGACAATTAGTTGCTTCGAGTATCAAGGGAGGCAACCTTCTGCATGTTGATGGTTGGGTGGAAGGCCCGTCAACACAACAGCGTGTGGTTATGGGCTCGATGTCTATTAAGAGCCATTGCATGTTTCGACCTTAATTGGTCATCATCAGGTTTTTCTCTTTAAGTGTTCGAAAATAGTAGATACGAATGATAAGGTTTAAAGACATTTGACGAAGATAACATTTTCATGGATCCGTGCGATTGTTTCACAAATATTAGTAAGAGGTGAGAGCCTGAAAACACAGGGCGTTTGACCTAGAGTAGAAACATTTTTTCTCTCGGGTTAAAGCGCATTCTGAAATGGAAGTAATAATATCATAAGCTGTGAGGTTGGTTCGTGAGATGACGGTTAAAATATTAGAATGTTAAAGTTGTCTATGAATTTGAAGCCCCTTGGGTAATTTACTCTTGGATGGAGAACGAAGCTTTCTTGCTGCAATTTTCCGATATCTGTTGTCCCTATGTGGTCAATCAGCTGAGGATTATCATGCTGAAATGATCTCGGGGTTGACTATATACAGGCTGAGTCAGAAGTAAGTTTACAAACTTCGTGTGCGTGTTCCAGGACCAAAAACTAGAAAAGATTTTCCTATGAACATGGGGTCGCAAATGTTTCATTTTCGAAATAATAGCCAAAAATTAGTTTCAATCAATTTACTTTATATCAAAGTGAATCCAGCTTCCAGCAAAGATTTTCAATTAACATTTGGGCAGGAATTGTTGGCGACGTGCTTATTGGTCCACGCGTCTAAGAGGACCTTCACATCGGCGATTCTTAAGAAGACACTTGCCACGTCTCCTTGAAGATTTACAACTGAATACAAGAAGACAAATGTGATTTATGCACGACAGAGCCCCAGAACACTTCTCCCATCGCGTCAGATATCATCTCAATGAACAGTACTCTCAGCGATGGCCACCGAGGTCACAGGACCTGACTCCATTTGACTTTTATATGTGGAGTCCCTTGAAGTCCGTTGTTTATGCAACACCCACAAACAATGAAGACGGCCTATGGGAACGTGTGCAGATGATTAGAGAAAATCCTGGTATTTTGTACGTCGTGCTCGTGCATGTGTGGAGAATCTGTTATAAAGAAACATCCCTGTTCTTATACTTGGCAATAAAGGCAAACATTGAAAATTATTTTTGGCTATTATTTCGAAAATGAAACATTTGCGACCCCATGTTCATAGGAAAATCTTTTCTAGTTTTTGGTCCTGGAACACGCACACGAAGTTTGTAAACTTACTTCTGACTCAGCCTGTATATCGTCGGAGATGCGTGATATTATTACAGCGGCTGAGATACGCTTCTAATGGCAGTAGGATCTTCGGTTAAGTAGAACGCTGAGCCAGAAGACGTGATTATCTGTTGGGGGATTTTTTTATTCAATCTGAGTGGGCGTTTGAATTTAGTTAACGGTGGAATGCTGTAACTGAACTGAAACACGTGATGGATCTTAATAAACGCTGAGACTCTAATAAAAGTTTGTATTGCCGACGGACTGTCAAACTTACAGACGATGAATAAAAGGCGATTATTAACTCCACACACATATCTGCATAAGATGCTGAATCAAATGTTTGTTTTGCACATATTCACATATATGCGAGCGTGTTACCAGTGGCATTCCACAGGTAGGCATTATAACCATGGAAACTAAGGCAATCTGAGGATTTCTTACGCAGCAAATTTTTCGCGGAATAAAGCATTCAAATCATTCTGTAATTTTCACGTTGTTGGTGTAAGATTTTAACCAGAATTGAAATGTGTCAACAGATTACGCTAAATCCCATCAGTATCAAATCTAATGATCTTCCGTTTAGACGTTCTCGAGCTGGATCTGCGGACAGACAGACGGAATTTTACGTGACGAAGATTTACATTAATTAGTTACGAACACGTGTGAATATGGAATTGAAAATGCGGGCTTCAGTTCCTATAAACATCCACGATTTCAGGGGCAATACTGACCTCGTCCTTAAAAAAATTTGCTTCAAATAGTCCCAGTCTGACGCCTTTCAAAAGGCCCGCGATGTGGCCTTTCCTGTTGTCCGGGTCGTCGTTGATCCACCGGAGAATGAACTCCCACACAAATTTTTCGTCCTTCACGTTCAGTTCATCGGAATCGATTACCGCTTGCAGCTCCTCTACAGGCAGTTCCAGCAATTCTTCGCTCTTCTGAGACAATTCCACGAAGTTAAGCGCAACGAAGCGACGAGCACGAGTCTCAAGGTCGGCGCAGAACTGCAACCTGCGACAGCGAGGGTAAGAGCCGACTCAGAATCGATCTCCTTCGAACTCTGACACATTGAAACACTGAAGCAATAACTGGATTCTCAAGGATATGCAAACACCACAGTATTTCGCCTTCAGTTTTTACCTTAACCATTTGAAGCCCGAATGAACGAGACTGAGAGGAGACATGTGGAGAAGCAACGATGAGAGACGCTCCGTTTAACCGGGGCAAAATAGAAAGTTTTCGGCTCTGAATGTTCCCAGGCAATGCCCGCTCGTCCTCGTGATAAGGTTACAGGTTGAAACAAGGGCATGGCGTACGCAAGTGAAGAAGGCAGTGAGATGAGGAGTATAGAATTTAGAATTCTGGCATTAACCTTGGCGAAACGACGTTTTGGTAACTGTGTGTGTTAATCCAGTGAAACCTCGTGTAACCGACCTTTACAGGGGGAACCACGGGTCGGATAAGCCAATAAGTCGAACGAGCGAGGGAAAGGGGAACGTGGTCATGAAATTGAACAAACAAGTAGGGATTCAATACGCACAAGCCGACGGCAAAAGTCACTTGTGGGCGTTGTTCGAGGGAGTCCCTGCATTAAAATAGTGAATTTATCAGTCATTCTGTTCATCGCATGAACTAGAGATTCTGGTGTGATTCTGCCGATTTCAGTTGATTTGCTTGCTATGATGTCCTGAACAACAAGGAGTAGGGGGTTCAGCACCTACGGGAACCAGCGAGTTGTTTTTCGTCTTTGCCCGATAAAAAACAATTCTCTAAATGTCCTGAAGTGTTCATAATACTCAGCAAAATCTGGATGTGAGGTTACATCAATGAACTGTACCTCGTGGTCATCACTTTAACGCATCTTGTCGGTGGAAACCAATCGCAAGCGATCTGGTTGAAATTCGGTCGCTTAATGCGGGAATCGGATAATCGACGCTCGGTTAACAGAGGTTTTGCTGTATGCAGAAAATGTGGGGCTGAATGTTGATTTTGATATTGGGAGGATTATGTAAGAAGCAAGGAATACCGCAGAGAAGGAATGAATGAATAAAAGAAATTCGAGAGGAAGGCAGATTTAATTATGACCATGCAATAGGTCGCTATTCACGTTCTACATGGTGAATTTAATAATCTGATAGTCATAATGACGATCAAAACATAAGCAGTTAAATCAGAACATTTAAATTGCAGGCACATTAATAGCAACCTGCCAACAGTCCTGACCTACAACGCTTTATAATTTCCCCAGTCCTCAGCCAGAGGCTTTAATCTCAGACCCGGCACTCGGCTGCTCTCTTGAGGAAAGCTGATTCGCTCCAGCGACGAAGACTGGCGTCACAGAAAATGACAAATGAACAGCAATTACCTTGCGAAATGCATGATGTCGACACAGTTGTCGACGTCTATCTCGTCCATGAAGAAGTCACAGCAGAGTGCAGTAACGCCTGGTATACACAAGTACTCAGCCGTCTCGAGCAGCTGACGCACGTTCTTGGAGTGGATTTCCATCTTACGAAAATAAGCATAATTCAGTATCTGAGTCATCGTGTCTGAACTGACTCCGTGGAGGAGAACATCCGGCTCCTCATTGATGTGCAGTGTTGTTGTGAAGAGTGTCCTGAAAATTCACGAAGCAGTCTTCGATTTCGAGAAATGGCGAGCAGAATATTACAAGACAAGCGCATAAACTTTAAGTTTTTATGACTCACGTAGCCAAATAAAAGTATCCATTTGTGGTGGATGAATTTTTGTTATTTGAAGACTTCAAAAACTCCCAGAATGTGTACTAATGGGACCAGATTTACTGTGAGATTGTGAAGAATATTACTTACAAATCGGATAGCAAACAGCGAACATTTGTACTATAGAATGGTAACCTCGGTTATTACAGACCCTTGAATCCTCCAAGAGATATCAGAGGTTATAGCAACTTTTACAGAAATTTTAAAGCCAATCAGCAAATGAACACAAATATTTCAACATACATTGCGGGCTGTACATTCCACTGATTGATCAGTTCGTAATATGAAATCTATTTGTTCTGTGAAAACATTTTCCAAAAAACGATTTTTCTACGCGGCTTTTACAAAGTGATCGCCAACCAGCAAACAATTTCCTATTACAAATTAAGGGCTTTGCAGTGTAAGTCAAACAGAAAGATTTGATTGTCGGAAAACTTAAAGAGGGGCACAGCTTGTAATATGACGTGAGAAACTTCTGTTGGAAAACAGAAACAATGGCTCACGGTTATAATTCACTTCTCATTTCAAGTACGCACCAAATCTTTATTTAAAACACAAGAAAGTTAACGAATGCACAAATTCTCGAACGATTCTCTCCTGCCAATGAAACATTTCTCGCGAAGACATTTGTTACAGTTAATTATTTTAGACAGAGCAACTCACAGCAGCTTTCAATATTCCGGACAATGGCGTGACGAAGGTGCATTACCAAATTACTTTGTCGGTCGTCTCTATGTATTAAAACCAAGACGATTTTGGAAATGGATTCTATTTCTCCCTCCAGATCGATTGACTGTCACCTTGGTACAACCGCACTTAAAAAATTAGTACAAAAAACCACGTACGTCGTCTGGGATGTTGTGTCGTAGAAATTATCGGACGTTTCAGAGGCGCTTACTGCCTCCATCATCAAGGAAGAAGGCAGTAAGTACGTCTGAAATGCCACTCGTTTCTACGGCGCAACGTCCAGAAGACATTTTTCTTCTTCCTCACCGCCGTGAAATTTCATGACAATGAACAAATAACAAAAGACAAATAGCAAAGGGGATAAAACATTCCACATACGAATTGAGGTCTATTAAGTCCTTATTTCACGTGTTAATCAACTACGTCAGTAAATAGACAAACCTGAAATATTCGCTACGCATCGACAGAATCACTCTG